CACCACCATTCTTCTCATAACAGCATCGGTCCGCACCTGGTCTCGCAGACACGTGTCGAGAATCTCGATCGGTATGGTGTCAAGATCTAGAGGACCTCCTAGCGACGGTCTCACCCACTCCACAAGCGTTTGCCATTCTCCCCCTGGCGGTGGTCCCGGCGTGATCGCCTTCCTACCCGTCAGCAGCTCCAGGAGGATAACGCCAAAAGCGTACACGTCGTTCTTGACCGTCAGCTTGCCTCTCAGCTGGTACTCCGGCGCCATGTAGCCCTGGGTACCTGCCACGTGGCTAGTCAGCGCAATAGTCCCGAATTGCGTATCGAAGAGGTTGTCACACATCCTCGCCAGTCCGAAATCGGCGACGACGGCGCGCAGATTCGCCCCCGATCCATCTTCCAGAAGGACGTTGCTGCTCTTGATATCCCTGTGTATGATCGGGGGCTCTACATCCGTGTGAAGATAGCGGAGACCCTTGGCGATCTGAAAGGCCACACACATGCGCTCCACTAGCGTAAGAGGAGGAGCTGGAGCACCGGCTTCTGTCCTAGGAGTGGCATCTCTTTTGTGCAAGCGACCGGAGAGACTGCCGCCCCGGAAGTAGGGGTATACAAGGATGCACGTATTCCCTTCCTGGCAGTAACCTATGAGGTCGATGAGATTGGAGTGATGGAGCCTGCTCAATGTGCTCACTTCGACGACGAATTGCTTWCGCTTSTCCGCCGTCACGCCGCCCCTCATCACCTTGATAGCGACCTCCCTGTCGCCAAGAGCCCCCCAGTAGACATCGCCAAAAGCACCTTTGTCTCCTATGCGATAATGATCACCGAAATTGCCAGTGACGAACGCCAAGGTTTCCAGCGGGAACGAGGTCACGCTGAAGGGCTGAACGTCCTGGACGCGCTTATGGCCGCTCGATGCTCCCTTGCGAGAATCATCGGGCAGTGAACTACCGGCTAGGGAGGAATAAGACAAACTGGGAGGGGCAGGTTGGTCCTGTCCAAGCGGAGGCAGCGCCGCGCCTTCCCGCCGCTCCCGACTTTCCAGCGGCTTTCGACTTTCCCGCCTCCGATAGCAGAAGAGACCGACCAGGAGGCCCGCACAGATGGCAAAGCCTGACACAATGGCCACGGGCAGATAGACWGCTAGAGCTAGATTTCGGCCGCTTTTGGCATCCGGAGCGGACACCCAGGGTTGATCGGACGGTGGGGGAGAGGATGATGAGATGACGGGAGGAGGATAAGAAGATGGGGGAGGGGGAGGGCTCGTGGAGGGCGGTAGTGGTCGGGAGGGCGGGGGGCATGCGTGCAGGGCGGACTTATTTACTTCCAGCTGGAACACGTGTCCGTCATTCGTTCCAATGTACAGGCCAACCCCGTTGTCATCCTCCTGGATCGCCAAACCCCAGAAACCGCCTGCGATATAAGACACGACGACATCCGCCGTTTGCGCTTCGCTGCACTGCGCTTTTAACTGAATCCATCGCAAATAACCGTCGATGCCAGTAACGAAAACATTGCACCCGTCCTTGGTTACCACAACCTCTCTCAATCGGGCCGTCTCTCCCTCCAGAAGACCAACTGCTTTCCGGTCAGCGACAAGAGTTATGTTCCTCGTCGACAGATCGACGGCAAATATACTATCCTCCGCCCTGTCGACTATGTACAGGCAACTACCATCAGGAGTGAATCCTTGCGGACGTACGTACAAGGTGGAGAGGTTCAATCCCATTTCGCGACGGAAGGTGGCTTCGGGCTTGAACAACATGTCAGCTGTAATGCTGGCACCATTCCCCAGCAGAGCTCCGAAGTCTGCAGACAGCAGACGCGGCGGATAGGCCATATCCACAAGGTAGGCGTTGGTCTTCGTCGGATCGAACCCCATGCCACAAGCGGTCATCCCCGGCAGGGGGATCGATCGCCTAGTGCCATTCACAGCAGAGAGCAAGGTTACCATCCAGCTCCCCTCCTCAAGCGGGTTGCCCATGGCCTCATGTGTTTCAGTGGTTAGCACCAAAGTCGTCCCTTCGTCGGACAAGTCCATGCCATTCAGCCACATCATCGGCTCCATTGTCGAGTTCTCGTTGAAGATGATTGGCGAGGAGGGTCTCATGCCATCGCTATCGTTAAACGCCCACSAGTAAGTAATCAGCGAATCGTTCTGGAAGGCTTCCCATMCCCCTGAGCCTGCCCTCCGTTCAGCCTTCCGTACGGAGTGCAGCAAACTCGACGTGAACTCCTCCGAGTCGGACCCGTTCAACTGACTGTAGCACCGCTGGTCGAGAACATAATACAAGACAGAGCCATTGGATGCGAGCACCAAGTCTTCGAGGATGTTATTGCAGCCGGCCAAATCGAAGGAGTTGCTGATCGACGCGGGAAACACCGGCTTCAGTGTCGAGTCTGTCAAAGTGAGCACCTTCGTCTTGTTCACTATCAGCTCAGGATCGCGGATCGTTGGCAGTACAGCATCGGTAGCTTTCAGAGACCTTGAGTTGTATGTCCTCTGTTCAAGAGAAGCGGAACCAGTTCGATGACCGTGGGAGACACCACTCCCATGCCGCCAAGCACGGATGCTGTTCTCACACCCGTTGCCAGCACTCCGACACCTGTCCTCCCGGTGCCAGCTGCTCACAGCACGCCACCGGTACCCCACACCTAGGCAGGGACTGAGCACAGTCGCAACGACCAAAAGCGTCACCATCAGCACCGTCATCAACACTGACGCTCGACAGAGTACGCGCGAGACACAGTCCCCAGAATGGGGTGGTGTTGTCTCCTCATATTCTCCACTACGCCGGAACTCCATAGTCGCAGACTTGGCACGTTGGAACAATTTCCGCACTCCAAACATTTGCTCACCGTGCCGGTTGCTCACAGCGCGCCACGCGTAAGCCGCATCTACGCAAGAACTGAGCCCCAACGCAACGACCCAAAGCATCCCCATCAGCACCGTCATCAACACTTTTCTTTCTTTTTTAAAAGGGAGACAGGCTTGAGATATCATCGTTCGTTGAGTTTCCTCAACGCCTGAATCTCTGGATGTGTTTCTATGTGGAGAGGTGCTGCTGAGGAAACGTAAAGCAATTTTGCACATCTCCACAAAAACATCCAGATTCAGGCGTTGGAGAAACTCAACGATGCTTATGTGGGACCTGGCCCCGGGTAATTCAGAAATTATTTTGTCATTCATCTGCACGGGCACACTCTCGCTACCACGTGTTTTCCCCAAATAGCAAAGGGGCTCGCCACACAGGCTTTCGAACAAAGGCATTTTTCGTAAGGTGTCAGACTTTTCTCGAAAGTCTACTCGTCGAAAGGAAACCCCCCCCTCGCCACACAGACTTTCGAAACACCCAGGCCTGGTGAATGCACGTCCCAAACAACAAGCTATCCTCGTAGACAGGACCAAGGCCAGCCTGCAGAAGTGTCGGACTGCAGTTGGCATCTCACTACTAGGGAGAGCTATGCTGCTTACGTCTGCCGTATTCGCACAGATATGGCATGTGCCAAAGTATCCGCCAAGAAACAGCAAGGAGGCCTGGGGATCATTGATCCCTATAAACAAAACCTTACCTTGCTTACAAAATGGCTCCAAAAAGCCTCTACACAGGAGGAACGAAGGACGTGGCAACCTGTTTTGGAGTACATCCTGCAACATGAGCTCCACCTTACCAGGAAGAATGATGTCTGGGCTACCATCTTCATGTCATCGTACAGACGCAGACAGCTCCAGTCGCACCTCACCGGAGCCTGTTGGACTGCTTGGCGAACACTTGCTCCTGCTGGTGTAAAACCTCCAATCACCAAAGATGAAGTCTTGGATCAATTACTCTTTGATAATACAGAAATACGAAGTACGCATGGTCACCCCTTTGCTGCAACTGCAGCGCCGGGCTCCTTCGGTAGACGTTGGACGGAGAGGGGCGTAACAAGGATCTCAGATTTGTGGGAGGAGGACACAAAGGTATGGACTTCGACAGAAAAGCTCAAGCGTAAACTGAGAGGGCTGCAGCTGATTGAGGAAAGGCGACTTCAACTCACCGGTGCTATCCCACCGGAGTGGGTAGACCTTCTCACTACCGAAGCCCCAACTGAAGGTGAATGGTACCGGCACACGGAAGAGTTGGGGGAGACCTCCATACTCAGGATAGCCAAGCAAGTAGACGCCAACAGCTGGGAAGCACAAGAGTGGAAGCCAGGCGAGGACCTGAAGCACCCCAACAGACTTAGGCCTGGAGACAGCTGTGCCATATACACATCTGCAGGCCTGCAGACCATACGAGTACAGACGACAACCCGCAGAGGCATCACCACCCACGACCTGCTAGCGGGAGGAGTGCCAATCAGGAGACTCAAGATTGACCCGCAAGGGCATTACTGGGAACTCACAGCACAGAGGAGGTTTTTCCTTTACCAATTCACAACCTCATTGGGGCGAGCCCTCTTGTCCAAGGACGATGGACTGCCAGCAGCCGTGGCGAATTCCTTCAACAGGCAAGTGAGGCACCAAGACCAAATCTCCCCAGGGGAACTGAAGATCTTATGGGCTCAACTCCCGGCTCTCCCCTCGCAGAAGCTAGCAGGAATCCTCTGGCTCCTCTCCCATGCGGCAGTCCCATCCTCTGTTYGCCTCTATGAAAGAGGAATGGACATTGAAACCAAATGCAAACGCTGCGGCAGCAAAGAAGAAGAGTCTCTTACTCACCTCTTCTGGGACTGCYCTGCCTCCAAACGTATTTGGAGATGGTGGGAGCATCATTGGCTGCAGTTTACCGGGGWTCTGCTGAAATGGGATGAGGCATGGGTACTTCATGGCAGCATACCACCGACCTGGTTTWAGCACATAGGGAGAGGCTATGTCGCGCAAGCAATCCGATCCATCCTGATCTGGATCATCTGGGAGGATCGCAATAATGTCCTCTTTAAGCAGCAATGGACAGCAGATGCGGAACTCAAGGCCAAAACCAAAGCGTGGATCAGAGCGATGATCCAGGTTGATTGGAACAGGAAGGCTGCGAGGCATGAATCTTCCAGGGGAAGGCACTGGTTCTTGTTACTTGGGCAAGGGACAACCAGCTGGCGGCAGTCACACTCGAGGGTAGAATGGTTATTTCGTCATGGCTATTGTCGTAGGTCAACAAATAGAGGTGGTTGTGGTGTTAGGCGCGAATTGTGCTGTTACAGAACCAGGACACTCGGTTCCTGTGGGCGGTCGAAGTAGACTGCAGACGGTTGTGAGGGTGGAGAGTGTCAAGTCCGTCTTTCAAGGAGCACCGTCTCCCCCTGGTCGACAGTAGGCCAGGGTCAGGCCGTTCCTCTTTAGGCCTGTATATTTCTGTTCACCCCCCTTCTCTTCTCCCCATCTCCCTTCTTCTCTCCTTCTTTCCCTTAACACATAGCGAGAAACCCCGTCTCTCCCCCCCTCTCTGACTCCTTCCTCACACTCACTCAACTACTGAGCCTGCAACTTTCGGTAGACTTGTGTTTTATGATAATGGTGATAAATACAGTTCCCTTCTCTAGAGGATAGGCATATAGGTGAAGTAACACTCCAGATCATTTACAGCACTATCTTAATGATTGATGGAGGGACTGGGTTCTCTCCTGGGCCCCTCTGGGGTCTGTTAAAAGCTAAACACAGGTCAGTCGGTTCCTACTGGTGCCGTAAAAAGCGAAACTGGCCAATGCTGCCAGATGTACTCATTCCGGGTTGAATTGTGGGGACCCCGGCCCCGGTTATTCCTGTATTGAACTCAAACAAACTCCTTTAAAAAAAAAAAAAAAAAAAAAAAAAAAACAGGCCTTTCTATATATGCACATTAGGGCCTGGCTCATTGCTCACTACGCGTGTAAAACGAGAGTCTGAATCTTTGCCTAGAACATGGAGAGATACTTCACCATAATTTTTGTCGTTTGTGCATGGTGAGAGTAGTGGAGCCAGGCCCTTGGAATAGCCACTTTTTATTTTATTTTTTTCCTGCGTGGGAAAATAGGGAAAACTGGCAGTTTTCCCAAGCGCCTGAATTTTCGGAGGTCCGGCCGGACTACTACTGCCATTGATAAATCTGATCGGCGGCCATTGATAAATCTGATCGGCGGCCCTCGTTTCGTTTCGGCCGCTGCAAAGGTCGGACGCCTACCCGAGGCCCGCTATTTTCCCAAGCGGGAAAGGTACTCTATATTCTTCTCTCATCTATCTCATTTTTCTTGCTAGTACGGGGGAACACCAACCAACCCGGATCTCTCCCCAGCCCACGGGGTAGGTTGGCACCACAGCAGTGGTGAGAGAGCAAGGCTGTACCAGTCCCTCATCACGGTGACGAGGGGTGGGCAGGCATTGCCGATGGGGGAAATCGGCGGTGCGCAGAGCAATGGCCAATCACTGCACCTCCCCCTACCCCCCCCCAAACCCCACATGGCGGTGTCTAATGGCCAATATTGTCGCTGCACAGACCACTCGAGGTCTTTCGAGGAAAGGCTCTTGATATGCGGGAGGATCTCATCTCTTCGTAAAGACTTTTTCGCAACACTTTTTTTTTTTTTTTTTTTTTTTGGGAAAATTTGTCTGGTGCCCCTGTATTTTCCATTTATTTGCGTCGCGCCCCTCCGACATGCAAAATACCCTGCCGTGCCCCTGGGCCTGAAAATCTTTCTGGCAGGCCCCCGTCGGTAGTGGCGCAACTTTCCATGATGCCCTCCCTCAACCGGTGGTCCCATTCCATTGGGCTATGTGCCATATGCCCTCGTAAGMAGCACCCGTCTTCCTGTGATGCCCCTGCAGCAGTCTGGCGCTGGAAATTTGAAATCAATTTTGAACAGCGTTCGTGTTGACGCGCCGCCTCCGTTTTTCTTGACGCGCTCGTGAAGGCCAACCTCCTGTCGTCTTCGTTTTCGCTGGCCGTCTACCATCGCAAGGTGAGTGTCCCCCCCACCTCTTCGTTTCCGCTCGTCGTAGACGCTCGTGTATCTGCTTGCCATTCCATGAAGCTCCGGCCCTACCATAATGTTGCTGCTGTCATGCTGCTGTGGCACTTCACATGGTGATGAGAGGCCCCGAATCAATAGGGAAGAGATATTCAGCAACAAGAAACCTGCTCGTGCCACTCGCTGATAAGAAGGGAACAAAAGCGAGAGAGAGAGAGAGAGAGAGAGAGAGAGAGAGAGAGAGAGAGAGAGAGAGAGAGAGAGAGAGAGACTATCGACACAGATAATGTGCATCGCAGAAGGGCTGCAGGACGTGTGAAATTACGCAGCCAGAGTGTCCCGGTGTCATTGCACACAAGCAAGGGCATGGCAGAAACATGGGGACACTCACAAATTTCTATCATTCCCCGGTAGCTCTCCCAGGCCGGGTGGAAATTCCCCTGAGTGCCTCCAACGGCGACAGGGGCACAGCGAAAAGATCGATGGTACCGGTAGGGGCATATCGGAGATTTCCCCAACGGCTATCCGGTAGGGGCATGACACATATTTGCTGTGGGTACTGGTAGGGGCACTACGAAAACATGTGAGGCCCAAATGACGCCAGGGGTTTATGAAACATTTCACTACTGGTCATAGAGGCGCGGCAGGGTATTTCGCATGTCGGAGGGGCGCGACGCAAATAAATGGAAAATACAGCGGCGCCAGACAAATTTTCCTTTTTTTTTTTTTTTTTCGGCAAAAGCTCATCCTACCCCTTAAGCGCGGTGGGCCCGGGGGGGGGAGGTCGTGTTCCGCTGCGCGCCGGAATCGGCCCGAAGTTTTGATTCGGGCCGGCGGATGAAGGCGATCGAGGGAGGGGCGTTGTGCAGAGTGGCGCGCGTACCAAATTGTTCACAGCGCGCCACTAAACAAGAGAGAGCGCCCACCGGGCCGGGTACACGGCGGGCGTCGATGCGCATTC